CCCCAATAATAAATAAATAAGTGATCTGCTCGATGAATATTTAGTATGTTATGTAGTGGTGTATTTAGTTGATAATTTCTGAGCAAAGTATCTAGAGTGGTGGACAGACGGTAGAGGGCTTTTCTCCTCTCCCTTTTTGCTTCAATTGCAGTTTCTTACACTAAGATTTTCTTAACTACTCTTCTTTTGAATTACATACTAATAATTATAGAGCCTTTTGTAATCCCCTCTTGGAAGGGTACGAGAGTCTGTACTTTAGGAACATTTTGCTGCTATCGGACCAGGGTAGTAAGCCTTTTAGGAAGGATTTCTATATTGGGAGTAAGGTGATGTTTCAGGATAGATTTACCAGAAAGTTTCTCCAATTTTATCGAGGCTCCAAAATTCTGTTCTTGATGGCCCTATTTTGTCCTGAAACCATGCACCACTTAACAGCTTCTCATTTTTTAACGAGAAAAGGTGTTCCAACTAATCAAATATTCTTTCTTAGATCTTGTATGGCTTCAACTGCATGTCAGGTTTGATCATAGAACACAAACTATAAAATACAACTTCATTAGGAAACTTAAGAATGATACAGCCCTAATTCAAACTTTCAAGAGGTCTGATCCCTCCATGTAGTTTTCCATCTTTTTCTTTATAAAGCTACGTAACCATAAGCTTACTAAAGAAACCACAGTAAACCACCACCCTTACTAATTACATGGAAAATAACTAACTGTAATAAAGCATAAATCCAACTCAAATAAAATATAAAACACAGTAGAATTCTAAGTTTTGCAGTTCTGTATCTCATAAGTGAAACGCACAGGAGGCCTATCATTTAGCTTTATGATATTGTGCCAATTGACATCAACAAACCAGCATTGTATTGTATAGCTAGAACTAACTCAGCTGTTGAAAAGTCGATTGGTCCCAGCTCCTAGATGTGGTTTGTGGTTCTTTCTTTTGGTGCACAGAAGGAATTTTCTTGTTCTAGTCTGACTAAATTATTGACTATGGTTCCTGGCGCTGGAAAAACGTTCAATTTCCGTTTTTACAAACATATCTATAGCATAGAACTTGTCGAGAACGATTTATTTTCCTCTTTCATTTTCTCATATGTGTGGAACAGGGATTTCTGAAATATTAACTGTTTTGGAAAATAAACCAGACATTGATGGAATTCTCATTACCACGTGTAATTTAATTTTATGTCGGCAGTAAGCTTTTTTAATGCTTGTGATGAAAATAGATTGGGAGACTTGGATTTAGGTAGTATAGATATTGCAACTCGGTTTGTATTTTTCTGTGTTTCTAAGCATATTTCATTTGATAGGTTGGGAAAGTAAACTCTCTTGTTAGCGAGCTGTCAAATGTGAGTGCAAAGGAGTGTGCTTTGCTTGAGCGGGTCAAATATCTCTTGTCTTCAATTGCTGTACTACAGGTAAATGCTTCTGTTTTGCTACTTTGTTTACACATATTTGCTGGGAAACAATGTGTCTGCACTTGCCTATTTCTTCACATTATTGTTTCTCTTTTCTCCTTAATCCCGCTCAAGACATATGTTTATATCCACGTCCATCCACACCCATACACGCACAAAATTTGGACAAGTTATTTCTTATGTACGTATTTTATGTCTGTATGTCTGCAGCTAACTATTTAATTTTTGGGAAATCAGGTGAAAGAGTGTAGCTTGCGAACTCAAATTTTACAGCAGAGATACGTACCTTCAATCTGACAACTTACATGTACAAGCTGTTGACTGTTGACTATCTGAAAGCTAACATTATAGCAGAAGATCAAAATCTTTCTTTTTTTCCGGAGGCAATAAGGACATTCTGGATGGTTGTGGCTTTCTGAAGCGGAAGAGTGTCCAAATATTTGGCTTTTGTTTATTTACAGGAAGATTGTAAGTATTGTGTTTTTGCGTGTATAGGTAGCAGCAGGGATTGTCCTTGATGTCAAATTAGTTTGTGTACAGGTCCATTCATTACAGACCAGAGGTTTTCATTTATAAAATATGGCATTGGTGTGTTTTTCCGTGCCGTCTGGTTTCTTCATATGGTTATCTGCTCACTTTGTCTACACACTGCAAACTTCAAATCAATGTGGTAATCGAATTTTGATTGAAATTCTTTCAGAAACTAAATGCCATCTCTTTCCTTGCCTAAACTCTGTCTCTACCTCTCTCTCTCTCTCTCTCTCTCTCTCTCTCACTCTCTCTCTCACTCCATCAAAGAAATGTGATTGAGTGAGAATCAAGAATCGAATTTGATGATGATAAGATTTGCAAAGTTGGTCAAAAAAGAGGATCTGACCTCGTGCAATGCTATGAGTAGAGGGTGAAATGTCTGGGGTTGTACTTAACCTCAAATTTGGAAAACGACATCACATTTCGCCACAAAAATTAAGAAGGATTTAGCTTCAGAGTGGAAGTCTCATAATTCTGAAGAGGACACAACAATCAGCATAATAATTCATCATTCTGATTAGATTGGAATCTTAAGATTGTGACTGGGGGTAGATGGGGCATCATTTTATCTCTTGCTCTCTTTTCCTATGCTTGTTCTGTGTAACTTGTGTATCTGTGTAAGATAAGACCCCCACAGAGCACGGCAGCTCCTATTAAGATGGAAAACACTACACATTACACAACACTCACATACTCTGCTTTTATATACATTTTAATGCCAATATGAACTGTTCAGGAAAGAGAAGGGAGAAGAAAAAGGAAGATCTAAACAAAGATCGTGTGGTGGGGTGTGAGAAAGTCAAAGAGATCGGCTTGCTGGGAGGCCCCATGATCTGGAGGAGATTCCATTGATTCAATTCAAGTACATTGATGAGTCAGGTACAGTTTCCTTTTCCCTCTGCCTTCGATTTTTGCAAAAGAAAACCTCATATGCCTCATGGGGCCAATTTCCCAGAGGGCGGGTGCATTCATGAATTTGTCTGTTGCATACATAGAGAATTGAAGGGAGTTGAAGAGAGGGGTGGGTCTGGTCTGTTGTGGGATCCACGTAAACAATTTTGGTATTTTAGTAAAGACGCGGCGAAGCGAATGGATCAGAATTGGAGAATGATTGTGTGTGTTTTACTTGATATTATATTTATTAATACAGCCTACAGGTACGTGATCAGTGATGGTATTGTATTTTGGCTTAGCTTTTGTCAAAAGAAAAAAACAAGAACAATAGGAATCGCCGAATAGGTGTTGGTTTGGTGGTGATAATGCCGTGGAACCCACTTCCATTGTCTGGTGGGTCCTGCTGACGTGCAACGCACCACCAAATTTCATTGTTAAATTTGGATACTTGTATTATAGAAAGAATGGGACCCCCTCCTTTATTTATTTCTTGTGTTTGTTTAAGAGTTAAGACTTAAGTGGGATTAAAATAAATTAGAATTTGAAAACTCCCAAAAGAGAGAGAGAGTTGCAGGTTTTGTATTTGGAGTTGAGTCGGCATGCAACATGCTTGCCTTCCGCTCGACCATCACCTCCACACACACCTCATCAACTCACTTCATCGCTCTTCAATAATATATTTGCCCTGCCCGTCGCGTCCCGGTCCCCTTAATATATCATAATTCTTTTTTTTTTTCCTTTTTTTTCAGTTCAATATCATGTGAAGTCTGAGGCGAGAGTTTGAACTTCTAATGTTATATTATATTTTAATGGATGATATATGATTTAACTAGTTGAGGTATGTTCAGGTTGACAAATTTAGTTATAATTTAAATACAATATCAACGTGGTAAGATACCGATATGTTTTTTAGTTTAATGATAGTTGAATGGTGTTTGATATAGTACCTATCTTTTTCTAGGAAACAAATAATTAATTGATGGAAGGTCAAATGGAGAAATAATGGTAGTTTTAGTGACGTAGATGAGAATGTAAAATTGAAGTGATCTGTAGGGAGAGGTTGCTCTAATTGGAGTAAATACTTTGTATTTGGAGATACGTTTGAAATTTATCCAACTTCCATTAGGAAACTTAATTAATCATGTAATAATTATCAGAGCACAGCATCCCGCTTGTAATATGAGACGCCAGATTCTCCACTTGGCATAATCGTAGTGGATTGATAGGCTCTGTCAAATCAAATGCACATGTTTCAATTTTATGCCATGAACAGACAATTTCCATCAAACTTATGCTTTATGCCAGTCGTATAATTAGCTACTTCTATTCATTTTACTTTTTGTTTAAATTATTATCGATCTACAAAAATCCACACTGACAGAAACAAAAAATTATTTGTTTTCCAATCCAAACACACACAAAAAGCAAAAAACAATAAAGCAAGCAATATCGAACGAAAGCTAATATTTGGTGGGTTTTGTGTGAATATGCAATTAGTTACTTTTCTGAAAATAAAAATTATAAGCAGAGAGTTTATAACAATTGTGAAAAGTATGGTAATTTTGTGAAGTGTTGAATTGAGAATGAACGAATTTTAGTCAAGTATTGTAATTATTTACGCACACTTTAATTAATCGTTTAATGAATCTGTTTTCGATAAATCTTTTTGATTTATCATCGATAAACCAACTTGTGATGATTTATCTCTACTATTTATTTACTTGAAATAGTTGGTTCAACCAATCATTTTAAACCAACCTTTTCATGTTTATTTCTGTATGGGTTACCTACTAAGTAGAAAATTTAAATTTATTTTCCTCTTTTATTGGATTGGTAGTTTTACTGGAAAAGGATTACCAAAATTAAAAAAATGGAGAAGTAGAATATTGTTTAGAATATCATAAAAATGTGTAATATATATTTTTAAAAAGGCCCCACATTTTATTTGATTATAGTATTCTGAAAATGGACTCCAAAAGATTTTCTTGTAGCGTATAGAGTATACAAACCGACTTCAATCTATTTGTTTTTATTCGTCTCGTAGTTATACTCCCAATGCCTTCATATTATCTTACACAATGATGGAAATAAAATACAAGATAAATAATAGTTCTTAAAATAGAACTTCATTTATTTATCTATTATTTTAACACTGCAATATTGTATTATATAGGTTAAAATTCGAATCTTCGAAAATTCATATTAGTAAGTCTTAACCATTAAAAATTATCGTGAAGATCATTAATCACGTCCCTTGTATCAAGAATAAGTTCTCTTTTAAATATTCTCACATTGTTATAATTCATCCAAATTTTACGTATACGAATTTAGACCAAGAAAAAGAATACAAAATCAAATTTCAAAAATTTTAGAGTAAAATAAATCTCTAATAAAAAAGAATTAGTTAAATAAAAGAAGAGGAGAAGGCGGTGAGTTTTGGGATGAAAATTAAGAAAAAAAATAAATAAAAAAAAATAAAAGTCGGCGAAGCGAGGAGCAGTTTTAGGGTGTACGGTACGGCGAGGACATTATCCATGTAACCTCTCACTCTCCACAATTACACGTCATCATTACATTACCACAATTACCGTAAAGCCCCCCCAAAGAAACAACCTTATTTTAAAACACAGGGATAAATTTGTCCCCAAAAACTCACCGGTGTTTTCGCCGGCGGCGATAATTCACTGCGATTGGTAGGGTAGGGTTCCGACGAACGATTATTATATCTCATTGGATTATTCACTGACGTCATTCCGCCACCGCCCCATACAAACAAAAATTCTAACCTCTCTTTTTTTTCAGATGAACAAGTTTAAGAGCTTCCTCTCCTTCCGCCGGTCGCCGTCGCCGAGATCGCCGCTTCCGAAGCTGGTCATCACCGACTCCTCCGAGTCCAGCGATCTCCGATTCTCCATTTGAGGATAATGATTCTTTCCTCCGCCGAGATCGGAGAGCCGCCGATAACCGGACGGAACGGAGGGGTAAAATTGGAGATTCTGTGTGGTCCACACATCTGTACTGAAACTGACAGACGATTCATCCACGTGTCCCGTCGAATTTCCAGAAACATCGATTCCGGGTATCGGCCGGAGAACTCCCCCACCGAGCACTGTCTCCGCCGCCGCCTGACACACGTGCCAGTTCCCGCTCGATAACAGCCCCACGGCGCCGCTCACCGGATTCACCGTGCGGCCGCAAGCTTCGAATAACAGAGACTGGAACAAAGCTTCAAAAAAAAAAAAAAAAAGGAAATCTCAGAGAGTTCATTGCGGAATAAAATTAATAAAAAAACAGGGTGAAAAAAGATGGTTACCAGGTCTTTGGTGATCGGGGACGGCGGAGATGAAGGACAAGAGATCGCTTCGGCCGAAAAATTTAGCGAGAAATAAGGTGGCGTTGCCTTGGGATTCCGGCGAATCAATCCAGTGGAGACACGATCTTAGAACACAGCCTTCGCTGCAACCCTTTCGAAGAACTCTGCATCCGTTGCAACTCATTTTTCCACCGTCCGATTAATATTCAACACTCCAATCCAACGCCTCCTGTGATTACTTTAGATGGAAGCAAAATATGAAGGAAGAGGCAGGGAGAGATTGGAGGTGGGGGGATTAATAATAATAAATAATAATAATAATAATAGTAGTAATGTTGAGGGGGTGAGTGGTGAGGTTAAAAAGAGAGAGGGAATGGGGGAAATGGTTGGCGTCGGGGTTAGAAAAGTAACTGTGGTTAAGTTTGATGTCAGAGTGTTGACGGTGGACTTTTGTAAAAGGGGTGGGGCCCGCTGTCAGAAGTGAGAGTGGTGGCCGGTGGGCCCCAAACATTAGCGTTTCCGAGGGAATATCTTCCAAACTCTGGGCGAGAGCGGCTCCGTGTTTCCGCGACTCTTTGTTCCTTCAACCTCAATCTCCACCGCTCGATCTCCTCTTCTTTTGCTTTTTCGCTTTCATCTCAGCCGTTCATATCATCCTCATCCCCCTTTTTCTTTTCTTTATTATTTTTTATTTAAAATAAATAAAGCTTCTCCGAGTCCAAGTTCAAGTACAAATTGAAACGCAAGTGGTGCGGTCCGGTCAGCCGGTCGCACCCAGCGCGGCCTTGCACACATGTCACTCACGTGGCTAAGGTTAAACTATTTTCTTTAACGTTTAATTTAATTACTGTTTAACTGGGTTATTAATTAATTAGGATTAGTAATTTCAAAGAAACAAATAAAAGTAAAGTAAAGTAAGTAGGATTATGATTTGAATTAAATTATATTCTCAGCTCTCACCAAACTTTTTTACCTCACACCTATCTCTATGAGCTTAACCTGAAATTATTCCCCTACAAACTTGCAATTAATGTTTCGGAGATCTCAAAAAGACTATGCATTCATGCTATTGTTAGGTTTTAATTTTTATTTCTCTAGAGTTATTACTTTTATGTATATTCTATTTATCTTTTCTATAAATTTTGTTCCTATTATCTTTATTCGTTTTTAATTTTTATTGTAATATATGGGGTTAGTGATTCGAACTCACGAATTTAATCATTATATATCGTAACCAGTTCAGTTACGTTACTTACTATTTTTTTTTTCAATTGCATTTCTTTTTTAGTGCATTTTATCCCACATTTTAGTTTGGCTTATGTTTTCTGTTTTTTAGAAAATAAATTTATTTGTTCTGAAAACTGCTAGGCTTATGTTTATGTCAGTTATTTCTGGCTCTAAAATTGCTTCTAGAAGTTATTGGGTCAAATTGGTTTTCTACATAAAATAATATATATTTTTGAAATTTTTATTCCAAATATACCCTTACATAATTTGTTGGAGTTAATCTCGATTTATTACGATGGAAGCAGTTGGTTGAATAAACTAGAATGTAAAAGCATTATTAAAGTTTTGTCTCAACATGTAGAAGGATAATGGATCTATGTTCAAACACGTGTACTTTATATAATAATGAAATATGTCCATGTCCAAAACAGTCTTAATTACACCAAGCTGAATGAATTCAAAATCAACTTAAATATTTCCAACAAAAAATAAATACAAAAGAGGGTTTGTTTTTACATATGGAGATAGAATATTAACGGTTGTAGCAGTACAAAATTTGTGACTCTATTGTCTGTCTACGAAAGATCGAATAAGATAACCAAAATAATTGATGTAGTAATTGAGTTTAAAGACATGAAAATTGAATTCGACAATTTTTATATAGTAGTATATCAAGGTCAACTACAGTCAAACAATATGTCAGAAGAGTCCTAATATCATAGTTGTGAGATGCGGGTCTTTTACTCCCCATAGAATTCGTTCATCATCATGTTGTGACGAATAATAGTTGACAACATCTCCAAGATATTACCGTGTTAATTATGACCAATTTGGTCTTGAATGACCAAGACGAAGATTTGCTCAGAGTGTACTCCAAAGGTCTATCCTTACTAAACCAATGGAGGTCAAACTAGATATGATGTTAATTAGGAGATTTTCAAATATAAAATGTAATCAAGATCGTCTATTTAATTATCTAAAAGATGAATAATTTTTTCTCAAGTATTTCCAAGAAGAGAAGCATAAGATAGGATGGTTGGGGTTGGAAAATTTGAGAGAATTATGTATAAAAATGGTGGTAAAGTAGGGCCTTTGCCTTAAACAACTAGACCAAGAAAACCACTTATCTAACCAAAAACTGCAGAAAAATGAAAAGAGAAGAGAGGGAATATGATCTTCCCACCAATCATATGTCTCTAATAACAACATTGCCCAAAGCTTGGATGCTTTACAATTCATATCACTCTTTGGAGTCCATTAAAGGTACTTCAACTCACCCTCAACCATATTATGTCTACCCCACAAATATCAAATATGTGCACTTTTATTTTATAAAGTAGACTACATACATTTGATAAAAAAAATATATTAATAATTAGTATAATGGGCCAAATTAAAAGTGATCAAATACTTTACACCTATTTTTATCGGATATGTGCATCTAAGTGGACACCATTTTCTTATTCCTTTAGGACCAGTAGTTCTTCATAGACATTGTGTTATGATAACATGTCTCCCCATATTTAGTTCTTCATAGACATTGTGTTATGATAACATGTCTCCCCATATTTTACAATGATACGATATTATTTACTTTTTATTCTTTTTTATTTTGGTCAGTGTGAGACTATGTTAGTATTTCCAATGAACAATATTAGATTCTACGTTAGTATTTCCAATTAACAATATTGGATTCGAATTATCTTTTCTAAAGTGTACGAAAAAAATTAAATAACCACGCCGTATATGATTGATTGTGTCATTGTTTAGATAAAAAGGGTCGCGTGAGCGTGCCCGTTATGAGAGGCTTTAGGCACCTCGAAGGTCCAATCAGTAAAATGGAGTTGACATCACCAAATTTCTTCTCCTCCGTTGGTTTGGACTCGAAAGAATTGACAATTTTTCGCACATGGCAATGAATTGTGATTGGCCCCTTTTTTTTCTTCTTTGATATTGCGCTCTCCTTTCGAAAGATGTGGAGAAAAGTAAATATAACTATGGAGCAAAATGCCCATTCCGGTAGAAAAGGCTTTTTCTTTTGATTCTAAGTTGTAAGCTCCAAAAGGGTCACTGTCAAAGGCAATCGATCAGTGACAACCCCAGAAATCGATTGAATTTGTACTCATTACATGCACAAGAAATCATTAAACTCACACACACACAGAAAATAGAGAGAGCTCATAAATGGAGGCCTAGAAAGGGCAATAATTTATTGGGATTGACCTAGATTTCATGCCCATTTCTGTGTCTTTGGCCAGAATTCTTACACATAACTTATTGGAATTCACGAAAATTAATTTTGGTTATGTGGGATTGCTTTGAAGATGAAAAGAGGAGAGACAGAAACAAGAATAAGACAAAAGATTGATTGTTTGGTGATTTTTGTTCTTAGAAAACTTGCTGTCAGCCATCAAAGATGCTGCTGCCTGCTACTACGTGTTTGGATAATTTGGGCTTCACATGTAAACCCAATTGATCGTTTGGGCCTATGGGGCAGATTCAAATGAAAAGTTATCAATTGGGCCCAAGCTCCACACAAGTTCAAAATTTTGGTGGGCTATGCTTGATGTTAGAGCTTACAATTATTTTCTTTCCACAGAAAGTTATGTTATTGATGATTACTTTTCATATGCGGCTTGTGATATACGTAAATGAAGGATTGTATTAAATTATGGATACTTTGACATGTTAGCCATGTGGGAAACGATTGGTGACATCTATTATGAGTTGTATGGAAGGATATAAAGTATTGCAAATTGTGTATAAACATGCATTGTATGTGTTGTGCTTGCATAGGTTCCTTCTTTGATTAATTTAAGGTTAGGTGTTTTTGTTTCCTTTGTAATGGAAAATCTAAGCTGCAAGAAGAGAATATTTTAGATGAATTGGAAAAATGGGAGAGAATAAAAGCAAACTTTTGAGAATGGCTTCAAAGAGAAGCACGGGATAATGAAGTAGGGACGATAACGAGGTAGGGTGGTGTTGGAGATGTTCTTTCTATCTAATCCCACAACAAATTTCAATATGAATTCTCTTACTAAAAATTCTTCTTCTCCACATATGTTAAAAGTAAGGTTTTAAATGTCAATATTGATGGATAAATATGGATATTTTAATTTTATGAAAACATCAATGGAAATATTGATATAGAAAATTTTTTTTGCAATACTATATAAATATTGATTTACCCCTTGTGTTAATGTTAAACGCATGAAATTTAATACCATGAATGAGAAAATACTAGGGTCACATCTTAAAACTTATCTCCTTAAATACGAAACACATGGAACACAAGACTCACTTCTATGGAAAATTTGATTATGTTGTTGAAAAATTTTGGTCATGTCATTTAAAATGAATGAATTTTTATTGAGTGAAAACAAGTATAACTGAACGGTAATTGGGAAAAGTGGGCAGTGAGTGGGCAGTGAGTGGGAAAGCGGTGGCGGAGGCGGATCGTGTCGGGGCTCGAGTGGATGGTCGGAAATCGAAATCTCCCAAATTCCATGTACTAAGAAACCAACTCTCTCGGCTCCAAAATGATGCAATTTCCCCACCACTTCAAATGTTCTGTTTCTCCACTTGGTCGGCGTCGGCCCACCCATTTTCCATTCCATATCTTTTTGCAATTTCCTTTCCACCCATAAAAAATAAAAAAATAAAAAATAGTCAAATTTTCTGGATGGAGTAAACTCAGTGGCCTAGTTGACTTTTCTTCTTCTTAATTTTAAATGTAAAATAAACCGAGTACACGTAGCATTCAACATTCAACGCCCCACACGCAAAAGGCAAAACAAAACCCACTTTTCAAATTCACACACAGCCTCTGAAAAAGTCCTCATCAAAACCCATTAGTTGGCTTTTGCTTATAACATCGGCATTCTGTTTACGCGTACAGCGCATGCAGTTCATGTTCATCTGCGGTTACTCCAAAAGTTTGAAGAATTAATGGAAATGCAAATCAAAATCCTTGCTTTATGGCGCAACTGAAGGGAAGTTTTTCTATTTTTACGGGGAATATTCCGGACGCGGTGGCTTTGTTTTGCAGTCCCAGATCGTTTCCTTGTGGAAAACAGTTCCAAAAAGTCGTATTTCCTTCCCACATTTTGCACCCACTTGGAAAAAAAATATATATTAAAAATCCCAGATGGGGTTCCTTCCTTTTCGGTTCTTTTACTTGGGTACGTGGCAAAATCTCACTTTGCCACCCCAATGATTTAGAATAACAAATTGGAACACAACGTTCTATTATTTTTCACGTTTCTGTAGCGTCATAAACCAAATATACTCCACACCCCACTGGACTAACCAAAGCTGAAACTAATTACACAAGTTGAACATGGAAAATGGGAATTTGGCAGAAAAGGTTGAAAGAAAGAATAGAGACAAAATTAAGAAACCAAACGAAACCGTGAGATTCGGTGTGGAGTGGGCTTTGAAACTCGGCCACGCATGCCGCCACGTCACCGCACGCCACCTCCCCCATCTTCATTCCTTGCGTGCTCTGAATTTGGATCCCCCCTTCTTTACCTTTTCTTTTCCCCTGTCACTCTCATTAATTCAATTTCTCATTTTATAAATTTCCATAATTGAGAATTAAATGCCCAACTGAACCAATATGAAAGAATAATTAATTGAATTTATCATTTGGACGGACTACCAAGTACAATAGGAGTAGGGAGTAGGACAAAGGACAAACCAAAGATATTCAAAGCGCGATAAATGGGGTTATAATTTCTACTTTCTTCTATGTACACAAAATCAAATCACCTAAACAAACAAACAAATTGTATTTTCCTTCTTAATTGGAATTTCCCTAAGATTATGAATCTGGGTTTGATTTCAAAGATTTTGAGAAATTTCGATTTTGGGAATCGTCAGTATGCGAGGCTTCTTGAGGGGTAATGGGCTTTGGACCTCGTCGTCGCCGGCGGAGACTAAGAACTCCGGTGACAGTTCCGGTAAGGCCGGGAGGTTGAGGTCGAAGTCGCGGTGGCTCTGCGTGTGGCTCTCCGATGATGTCACGGCGTGGTTGTGGTTGCTGCTGTTGTTGTGGTTATTGCTGTTGTTGTTGCCGATTCCGCCGTCGTAGTGGCAGCGTTTGTGACCGCCCAACGCCTGGCCGGTCGGAAACGATTTGTGGCAAATAGAACACTGGTGGGATTTTCCCCCACCGACGGCGGCGGTGGCGGTGGCGGAAGTGGTGGTTGTGGAGGAAGTTGACTGGTCTTCCCCTGTAGCTGATTTCCTATGGCTGGCTTTGTGGCCACCCAAGGCCTGGTAAGACGAAAACGCCTTGTCGCAGACAGAGCACTTGTAGCTAAGCTTAACGACCGATATGGGCTGAGCCGGAATCGGAACTTCATAGCCAGGGTCAGCTCCGCCGCCACGAGCCAGCATGATGAGACATAGCGCCAAGTACTCTTCCTCTGTGGGTGGGTTGTCGAACCCCCGTGGACGCTTGGTCCTCTTCCGCTTGGACCACGACTCTAACGAATTCAGGCTCGGGTCGTCGTAGTGGAGAGCCGGCGACGGAGTAGTGGGAGAATTTAGAGCTTCCAAAGCCATGGGTCGGTTCTCTGTTTCTGATGATAATCAAACAGCAGAGGAGATGAAGAAGAAGAAGAAAGCAAAGTTGTGATGTGGGGGATTCGGTTGGAATTGGAAGTGTTTTCGAGTGATAAGAGTGAGAGAAAGGGGAGATGGGTTTATAAGGAGGGAGGGAAAAGGACCAAGAAGAGTAAGGAAGTTGCGTGACAAGTGGTGAGAAAGTAAGAGAGATGCCCAAGTTATTATAAAAAAATTAAAAAAAAAAAAAAAGACAACTTTTCTTTTATTTTCTTTTTTAATTTTTGCCCACAAAAGAAAGAAAAAAAGAACTTGAAGGAAGGAAGGAAGGAAGGAGAATATAAATTGGAAGACATCACGTTTGGGTTTGGTTTTGGGCATTTCTTGGTGGCGAAGGAGGACCCAGTTGGGTCAAAATCAAAAAACTTAGAAGAATAAGAAGAAGAGTGGAAGTTGTAAGTAAGTGAGTGAGTGAGTTTTAGAGTTTAAAGAAATCCCCACCATGACCACGCCACTCCCCAAATGGAACAATACCCATTATTGATTATTCCACGTTCAAAGTCAAAATCTAAGCAGTCCCCCTGACCAAGCCCAACCCAACCCAACCCCCAAGGATCTCTCAGCAGCAGCAGCCGGCGTCTTTATTAATTTTCATTTTAAATTTAACTTTGCTACCACCAGATCAGCAGCACAGACTTTAATTTCCGTCTCCAACAAAACTTCCTAACCCAGATTACTTCTCACGCAACGCTGCGCCATGAAATACAATGAATCTAATCTATTATACCCAACCGCCATATTTCTACTTTATTTTATTTTCGCAAGTAATTGGGAATGAGCTGCAATTTCAAACTGAGAGTGAGACGGTGGGTTTAATTTTAATTTTAATTTGTAGATTGGTTTTCTTTTCATTACCTATAAAATCTTTTATATTCATTCCACTGGGATCATGCCGAATTTGACCACACACCTGCACATTGGAACAAATTGTGGATGGGGAGGGGGGAGTTCACTTACTTTTAAAACGTCTAAAAATTGACTTTTTCAACCTCGCTTTGGTAAAACACTCTCCACCGCCATTTCACACCACAAACAACCACCTTCCCAGAAATTCCATCCAAACGCCCCACTTTACCCCTCTCCAAACTTCACTCGGTTATGGGTATTTCCGTAATTTCCAGCTAGAGTAAAGGTAGATTTTACCAATTTTGTACTGGTAAGAGGCGGGGAGTACGTGAAGAGAAAACGTCGTGTCGTAATAGTCGACTGTAGGAAATCTGAAACCAGCAGCCTCTGTGGAATCAGGAGGAAAAAAATAATAAAAATTAAATTCCAAGTAGGATGTGTTGATGACGTAGCCGAGCGGGGTCCATATTTGTGAATCAGAATAAAGATTTACACGTGTTATATAAGTGCTTCGCTGCTGTCACTGCCTACTCATCACTCCATTCTTATCCCTAAAAAACAATAAAATAAAAAACACCAGTTTCTTTTTTTTTCCCCTAGCTTAAAATTATCCAATCCAGTGGGCTTGTTTCACTCATTGTAACACAAAAACAAAAATCCGAGGACAGTTTGGGGATATTGGGTTGAACAAAAGTGCACCCACATCGGGTAAATAAAGAAATAGTAGAAGCGGCACAAAATAAAAGTGTGGGATGGCCGATGGGATTGTGATTCCGGCCGCCGCAGCCACAAGGTGGGCGGCCTCAGCGCTAGCTGCCTGAATTTTAATTGCAAATGGCTTTTCAAATTCTACAACACGTGGGTTTATCTCCTATAATATTCTAACCAACCTTTTCCAAAGACTACACGCAATTCAACTTAAAACTTCCTCTCACCCTTAACACGTAACTAATCAAACTCACATGGAACTCCCAAGAAATTTTCAAATTTGTTGATTGAATTGCCACTTCAGTTTATCACGACTTTAAAGCAAGTAAGTAATCGTGTGCAAAAACAAAATGGTCTTCTCAGGTTTGGATTTGAAAAGGATAAGCTTCAACTTGAAGGGAATGTAATATAAATTTTGAGCCGCGGTCGTATTTTTCTTAGGCTTTGTGTATTGGGCCACAGTGCTTGGTCATTTGATCCACGTGGGGGCCCACTTTTTGGGCACATATGTTGGGCCTGTACTTAATACTGTTATTATAAAGCAATCAAAATTTGTATTTTTATTTTCTAAAATATCGACAAAGTATCTTGAAAATAAAGAAATAAATAAATCCACCCAAATAGAGCTCATTCATGTTTAAGCGATAACTATACAATACAACAATTTACAACCCATCTGTGAAGTTGTTCGTTGCACTTGCACGGCATTTTATTAAATAAAGTCTGTGAAATGAAATGTGTGAAAGGGAAATTAAGCAGAGAGGTTGAGAGTTTGGAGTTGATAATTAATCCATGATATTAATTAGTGTGACAGAGGCAGAGTGGGACATGCCCAATGCCCAACCAATAAATTTAACAGCGTGTTTGGTAACAACATCAAAAAATTTTCAATAGGTACTCCACCGTGTAATATTAATATTAGTAGACCTCACATGATTTTCAATATAATATTAAAGTGTCGAACAATATATAGGAAAAGTTTATATATATTCATAGTTCTGTAAACTTTCTCGTTCAAATCTAATACTGGCAGCTCATAAAAGCAAGTACCAACCATTTCAATATTTTTTGAAAACTATTTCAATATTACAAAAATATCATACTCCTTTTGTTCAATAAAAAACTATTTCAGTACTACAAGAATATCATACTCTTTTTATTTAGTAAATAATTTTTTAATATTGATAAAATTACGTTATTTTTAATACAGCGTTGATAAACGAGTCCTGTACTCTTATGGTGTAGTACCATAAATTTTTTGAGCGGGACTTGGTAGACTCCCTAAAGGTGACACGTGCCCAACAAAGACGAACGCACGTAGGAGTTAGGAGAAGATGACACGAGGGAAAACACGTTTACCGGAATAAAATCCCCTCTCCGTTCTGGCATTCCGATCTGATCCTCTCTCTCCTGCTTTATTATTATTATTATTATTATTATTATTATTTTTTTTGGAGATTTTATTCTGTGGTGCAGGTGCAGTGGGGCGGTGGAATTTTGGAGCAACAAATTAAAACGGGACCAACGAACAAAACCTTATTAACGTTTGTAATTATGCAACAATTTAATTAATTTTTGTTTTTTGTTGTGTGTCCAAACTCCAAAGTCCATTATTATTAAAATTAAAAATGTGGAAACTTGTCTCCATCCAACGCGTGAGATTTAAGCGCCGGAATCTTAGGAGGACGGGTACCGAACCCTAAAGTAAACCCTAAAACCCGATTTTGAGTTCGTGGCTTTGTTCAGGTAATCTCATCTTTCTGTAATAAATCCCCTTCAAAATCTTACAGCTGGATTCTTTCCCTCTCTCTTTTGACATNAAAAAGTCTATATCATTAATTTTGTCTTGAATCTCCTTTCATTTTGTAATTTTGTTTCTGTATTGAACTTTTCATTTTACTTTATTTCAAAATTTACTGATGTGGCAAACAAAGTAGTTAGATGAACTCAAAAAACGAAACAAAATAGTTGGATTAATTTAATAGAATAATATACACAAGTTTATATCCATAGAATATTGAAATATTATCCGATGGGACTTCAATGGCTTACTCGAATCCAAATAATTATATGGACTTATAAAACATACTACTATACTAGTACTTGATAATTAATATCTCATGAACTATACTTTTTTTCAAGGTTAAATTTGTAATATTTATTCAATTTTATGATATTAAAATTGAAAATTTTAAGTTAGATTTTACCCGCTAACCTAAATTCAAAGATAGAAATTAAAATTGTTCCTTATTTTCACAGTAAGATCTTGATTTTAAAAATTAAATATATAAAAAAAGCATAAACGAAATAGTTTAATATATACTAGAGACAAAGTTGAAAACAACAATATATAGTAGAAAGTTTATTATTCATTAGTTAGGGTCAGTTCTCACGAACTACAAGAGATGCAAGTTTAAAATAGGTATATTGTTTCGAGATATAATTTTTAAGTACATTTAATAGTATGAAATTGTGAGTCACATTGTTCCAACCTCATTGAATTAATAATATATTTAACAAGTAAAATTACATTTGGGTCCTCTATGATTTTACAACCCAATTAAATCGCCACGTTTTAATTAATTACCATACTGTTGTTTTCCCTTCACTCGTTAAATAAATGTAAAGTGCCCAACTTTATATATTTATATATAAAATGACTTATTTGTCGGACGTTGGGTTGAGTCATATGACACGTGTTGGAATTTAGACCACCAAAAAGTCGTGCCTTAAATAAGGAATATTATTATATTCGAACTTATGGTTGAAAATTGGAAGAATAAAATAAAATAAATAAAAGTTTGCCGATTTTTAAATAGTAGTTAGGACTTAGGGGTTGGGATTATCTCGAAAGTCATTAGGTTGAGTTGTACATCAGTTTACGGGCTAAGTGTTTGATTAAGGTAGTAGCAATGGTTCCAAATTTCAATGTTATCTTCTCTTTATTTTATGCTTTTTATTTACTAATTCTCTCCAATTATTTCATAATATTAAATAATAATTTTATATATTATCGTAGAATTATCAAGAAAGATGATAGCGAAAGATCATCGCTCATAAATGAAACAAGGTCTTCTTCACTAAAAAATTATTATTTATATATTTTTCATCATATTTTCAACCATAGTCAATTGAGTTATTTGTTCAATATAATGTTGTAAATATTGTTTTTAAAATTCATAGATTAGATAGATATAAGCATAAGAACAAAGCTACTTATAATTAAT